TTGATGTGGATATATATCCCTAATACGGACATCGCCTAATATATTAGGGCAATGGGGGGTCACCCAATTGGGTGTACCCACTTGATTGCAATCAAGTCTTGAGGGGCCTACCAATGTAGTGGCGTCACTGGTGGCAAATGAAGAATTCCTTTCTTCTGGTTCTTGGGATAATACTGCCAGGGATTGGAGGTTTGAGACCTGGGAGTGTGCACATGTTCTAAGAGGACATGCTATTGATGTGCGGCCAATAGCAGCAACTCAAGGCCATTGTTTGTCTGGGTCTCAAGACAACAGCATCTGCATGTGGAGATTCAGAACATGGAGGTGCGAGAGCGCGTCCTTCGTAGCCACGCTGATATGGTGAACTCATTGGCGGTCAGTGACCGCTTCTTGTTCTGTGGCTCTAAGGATAAAACCATCAGAGTATGGAGAAACGCAGATGGACAGTGCCAGCGAGTGTTGCTAGAACACTTTGATTGGGTGTGGCCTTTGGCGGTCAGTGGCGATTCTTTGATTTCGGAACCCAAGGGAGTTGTTGCATTTGGAGACCTGCAACGTGAGATTGTGCGAGAGAGCTGGAAAGCCACGTCGATTGGGAGAATTCATTGACAGCCAAGGTCAACTTGTTGTTTTGGCGATCATATGATCTGTCATTCTGGTGTGGAAGGTCAATGGTAGGGAGCACATCCGAATCCTCGATGGGCATATTCGTGGGGCGCATGCAGTGGCGGTCCCCAAGGAGTACCTTTTCTCTGGGTCTTATGATGGAGCGATTCGAGTGTGGGACAAAGCAACGTGAGGTGGACATCAACCAACTTCAGTCTTGTGCGAGTTCCAATATTAATCATTGGCTTGAGGATTTTTTGCGCTGGAGTGTGCTCATCGGGGAATGCGTGTACCAGAGTTAAAACAAATGTACAAAAGACTTAAAGTAGATTTAAATGTAAGCAAATGCTCATCGTCATAACGAAAAATCGTCTTTTCTAAATTTAGAAACGAACAAACAGCTCGCCTTCAAGCAAGAAAATGCAGACCATATCGTTGCACACGGTCTGTTGCCACGGTTTTGCGTTGTGCAGCACAACAGTGTATTTGAACTTAGCGGAACCTAAAGATTGAGTGAACAGTGATTAGCTGTGAAAGTACTGAATTAACACCGACGGATATTGGTCAGTATCTGAAGAATACTGACAATTTTCTCTTCTCAAATCTACCATATTCTGGCCAAGAAAACCCGTGCCAACTGCCGCGCTACATGCACTGCGCACTGCAGAAACAGTTTATGAAATCCAACGCACATGTAGCTATGCATCTCGACTCCGATCCCCAATTTTTCAGAACAAACAAAGCGAGTGGATGCTAAATCGACCGCTGCCAAGGGAATCGCAAGAACCTCTAGCCCGGGGATTCCAGTGGCGCACCGACCCCGCCTTTCCGAGCATCGATTTTGCCATCGCCATGGCATTACTACAAACTCGGCGACTGGGCGCAACGTACGCCGCCAAACCTGCTGGCCACTCCTGCCAAGCAAGAGCCAAACGCTGAATGCATGCTTTGAAACAAAGCAAAGCGTTCTTGCGACCACAGACCTCAGGTTGCCAAATGGCGCCGCGCATCCTCGATGTGATTTCAGATGACTGAATCCTCGTCCCCACTCCAATCCCACCGAGCTGATCCTCCACGTATGCGTTTCTTCGGTGCCATGTCTCATATTGGGTGCAGGCAATCTAAGAAGGCCAGCGCACCTACTGAGTCCGCAATGGACAAAGGTGCATCCTGTTTCGGTAACGAGCTGTCCCAGGCAAAAAGTACGCGAACCCGTGTTTGCATGATGTGGAGGTGCTGGCAAGATTTGCAAACTGGGTTAGATACGCCGCTGCAGAGCGTCACAAACCCCAATAAAATGCTGAAGAAAAAGATACAGTCAAACTGGGTTAGATACGCCGCTGCAGAGCGTCACAAACCCCAATAAAATGCTGAAGAAAAAGATACAGTCACCTGTTTTGAGCCATGCTGTGTCCGCTGAATGTGGCCTTGACGTTCTTTATAGTCAATACATGTGGAAGTTGAACTTTTCTATGCGGTTGCACAGTGTATGCATTGGAACTCGCGATAACTATCAAAGGTAATATACATGTTTGTTCATAGTTCATATTCGATTTATCCTTGTTTTGCTCGCATACATATCCATTAATTATAGCAGTGTACTTGACATAGAAAATTGTTACAAGAATGGCTTCTAAATTACAAAGGGAGGCCATAATCTGAAAGATTGGGCTCCAAAACATTCAATTACCAGTTTTGAGAAATAGAAGAAGTAAGTCCGACCCCTTTGAGCATTGGGTAAATGGTAAATTTGATTGGTTTTGAAAAAAAAATCGAGCCTTACTAGGAAGAGGACCTTGCCAAATATACAACACTTAACGAACTGAATTGATTTCTTTGCCTTACAATGCAACCTCAACGAAATAGATTTGCACAAAATTTCACTTGAAACTGATGTCCTCACAACCTCACGCAAGTTACAATGGGGGAAGCTGCACAGCCTTCACATTGCAGTCGCGTTCCTCAGTTGTCCCGGTCCCTTGGATGCAAATCGTTTTGTGTGAAACAGCCGATGCTGCGTGGGATGGCTCCATGCCTGGCGGCGTACACACAGCTTCCCAATATACCGCGCCAAACAGAGGCTCCTGTGCGGGACCCAGGCCAAAGAAAATTGAGTTTGAGAACACTCGTCGTTCTGGGTTTCTTGGTTGGGGCGTAAGGCTGCAAGACCAAGATCGGCGGGCAGGGTGGCTGTCCACTGGGCGCTCGCTGATTTAGCTTAACCGCCATTCCCAGTGCAAGAGCCTAACGACGCAGACTTTGGGCGATCGTTCGGAAATTTGGTAGGCGTTGATGCAATCTTGATGGGGGATGGTGCAACGGGTCATTGAAACAACGATGAGCACTGTTTGAGGCAAAAGGCCCAGTGAGCAATGGCTCACAGATGCCGGGGGCTGCGTGGCGGTAACCCACGTACCTTCGCCAGACGGATGCAGACTAGGCCTGTCCTGCTGTAGAGCTGTAATTGGCAGACCAGTCGTCACAACGGGCTGATGGGCATCGAATGCAGTCCCGATTGTGGGGAGACACTGCTGTCGCCTCCTTCCCCGCAGGCGAAACGGGATACGGCACGCACAGTCCGAGGACAGTTTGGAAAACAAACAATGCACAACAGCGATGGTGCGCCCAGAAAAAGTTGTGTGTTTACAAGAATGTTCCATTCGTATTTACACTCGAAAAAGGGTGTCTCAATCCCCGGTCCTAGCCACCTTTCGAGAAGCCTCCAAAGCTACAATCCATGTATAGAGCCCCTTGAGCTTGTCCCTAGACGTCTCAAGTTCCCCAACACCTGTCCCTAGCATGGTATAACCCATCATATATTCCGTACAGCCGGCTCAATTTCAGTCCCTAGGATGTGATTTTAGTCCCGAGCAAACAATTGAAGTCGACTGGAATGGAATTTGGGGACGTCCCCAACAAGCATGTTCAGTCCCCAGCAATCGCGGTCAGTCCTAAGTACGTCCCCACATAATGATCCAGTAATCAAATCAATCAAATCAGTAAAATATGATGAAGTCAATAATGCCCGTCAATGCAAGCCGTAGTCCCTGCCTTGGCATTCCATCAGAACGAACGTGCATAACTGAAATTAGCTTACTGATGATGAATTTCTGGCTCACGTCTCCCTTAGTGATGATTCATGTGGTTTAAAACGTCATTCCAGCTTAGCTCTCCTTGGCCCAGCTCACAGCTCGGTTCTGGCTCAGTCTCACGTCAGGGGGTTTCGTACATTGGGATTTGCGGCAAGGGCGGCTCTCTCCATGCGAAGTCCTGGACATTAAGCAATAGAACAGGAAAATTAATCTACCTTTAACTCACTAATTCCAGACTGTGCTCATCAACTCAAACAAGGTTGCAGCAGATTAGATCAACCAATCAAACTGCTAATAGTACACAACCTCGAACTGGTCATCTCAGTAGGGGTACTTAGGAAATTGCCACATTTGTCGACGACCTAGCGAGGTGTCTTGCTGCAACACGCAACAATGCCACTCTGGCACTCTGCCACCCCACACCACTGGAAACAAACATTTCTGCAAATGTATGTATGCCATACATACCATGCCATATACACCTACATATATGCCAACTGTGGTGTCATTTGAGGCAAATTAATGCCATCACACTCACTTTTGTGCCATCGCAGTCGCTGTGCCGGCGTCGCTTTGTGTCAGAATGGCATCGCAGTTATTATCTCAAACATGTTGTTTTCTGATAGTGCCACCAGAGTTGCCCAATTCTTCGTTTCCTGGTGCTCACAGGCGACCTTGAATCAAGGCGGGTGTTTGGAACTCACTCACAGCCAAATTGTGACTGGAGTGTGGAGACAATCAGAGCCCGTAGGCTCGAGTCCAGCTGGTCCGGTGCCAACCGAGTTACAGACAGCTCCACGTCCAGTTCCCAATAAATAGGCTGGACGAGTGTAGCAACACTGTTCTCAGCACTGTAACCACGTTAGGAATAACATCAGTACCGTCCAATTCTCGTCGCCCAGCCTGGCATTATGCCTCTCCTAAGGGAGTATCGACCTGATAGGTCCAAGAAAATAAATGTGTCCTGTTCAACATAATGGGCCAACATTCCCAACAGACCTCGACTGCCATCCCACCGTGGCACTGCCAGTCAGACGCCGCGCTCAAAACACAGCATGGAGGGCACTTTGCCCGCACACTATCTTTTTGTCGAATGATTCGGCACGTTGAATTTTCAGCATCCTTTTGCAAGCGGCTCATTCCCCGGCATCTTGCCCACCAAGAAGGCCCTTTTTTGTTCCTTTTTCACCTTTTTTCGATTGGTGTGGCGCCGGGGTGTGAGAGGGCAGAGCAAAGAGCAGAGTGGGCTGTTGCAGCAGCGCAGGTGCCCCGTTTGCTGGAGGTCGCGCTCAAAGCCCGGCGATGGACAGTAAGCCCCAGCCACGGGCGCAGGAGAACGCAGCCGTTGGAAGTGCAGGGCGCGGCCAACAAGCCTTCTCCGTGGGCTTCGCGGCGGCGGCGGATGGCCTTGGGCACGACGCACGGCCGCCCTTGGCCGCTTCGACGGCAGGCGATGGCTGGGAGCGACCAGCCAGCGGCGATTGGTGGACCCCATTTCCGTGGGCCATTGGCTTCGATTCCTTGCCGTCGGCGATGAATCCGCGTTGCTGGGGCTTCCCTGTGCCGGCGGTCGCCTCTCAACGCGCCCGCCGCGCACCTCACACCCACCGCAGCGCCACAGCGGGCCTGGATGGACGCAGGCCCAACGCGCTCCCAAGGGTCTCTACGCACCCGAGGGTCTCTGCGCACCCAGAGGGCCCGCGTCCCACATACATGTTTTGAGTTTCATTGCCACGCCAACGAGCCCCCGTGGGCAAACTCAGCCAACCAAGCGACCCCCCAGGACCGATCCCCATTGCCCGAGCAGGACGCCGGGAGGTGGCCGCGCTGTCTGGCCAGGTTCTTTGTGACAGGAGGCGCCACGGGCCCCCGTGGACCAAACCGTCGCCAGAGCCACTGCCTACCTGAATACTTGAAAACTTCAAACGCTGAGAACCTGATACCTTGGAAACATGGTAAACTTTGAAACCTGCAAAACTTGATGCTTGAGCATTGGAGCCTGAAACCGTGAAAGCTGTTCACGTGTCTGCCCTTCCGCCTGTCCAGTTGTTATCACAGGGTTATCACAGGGAGCGTTCCTGTGGCCAACTGTGCGCCCGCGGGTGGCGTTGGTTATGGCAATCGAGAAGCGGCAACGGCTCTGCACTCGCACGATTGGGGCGCACTGGCGGAGGCCGAATCTGGTAAGTGTCCCTCCCCAGTGGCCACGCAGTGCGTTGACTGGTGCTGGGGGCTCCTTGCTATGAAAAGATCATGCAGAGCCTCCGAAGCAAAGATGAGGCCCAATGGCGGGTATGTAAAGGGAAGAAACTAGAGACTGAGGAAGGGAATGGGGAGGCTGCTAAGTGGGGCCAACAAGCAGTGAATGTATCCTCACAGGCCATGCTCAGGTGCTATAACTGTCTGGACGTGTGTGGCCACCGAACTGAGGTATTCCGGTGGCGCCCTAGCCCTGAAAGATTTCCAACGGCCCCGCAATGATGGTCACAAAATGCCCAAACGCACCCAAGCTATCAGAGAAGCAGCATCGCCCCTGGCCTCTCCAGCACCACATGCCCTCCTCTAACTGCTGAGGGACACATGGCTTGTGGATTCTTGCTGACCTGGAACGCCGCAAAGCTTTTGCCAATTGTCCAGGAAACTTAGCCACTTGGTGCCTGTGGGATGGGGCCCGCTGAAAGGGATTTAGGGCTGTGAATTGGATAGCAAATCTCCCACCAGGCCAGTTGGCAGTGCATGAGGATTTTCCCATCATGGAATGATCATGAGTTTTGTGTTCATCATTTGTGTACACATGTTGGAAAGTTGCAAGGCGCTGTCATCCAATGAAACGATGATGAACATGGCCCAGAGGTGCACTCAGCTTGAGATGCACTAAAGGTGGCACGTCCCATGACAGCAGTTGGAGGTGTGACTGGTCAGGCCCCAGTGCCCCTGTTGTGCTGGAAGCAGGTTTGGCTCATCGTTAAATTTGCTTTTAAGGTCACGCAGTTGAAGGGAGCGGCAGGAGGCATTGTGCAGCATGCGGTATGGGACCTTTGAACATTGCTAAGGTGGGTGCTCTGCCCCAGGGGCTACGTGTTGCCTCTTGTCTGCGCGATTGGCTGAGGTGGTTGCTGGTATCTTGCACCTTTTCATTCCCTTGAGCACTGCAAGGGTCAAGTCGCGACTCGCAGTGTTGATTTGTCTTCTATCAAATGGAGCAGTTGGACGCCCATTCACCTTCAACCCATCGGCCGCCAAAGCCTATGTAAGCGACATTCTGGGTGACTGCCCTGCGTGCTCTTGCTTGAAGAAGGATTGGACAAGACTATGCTTGCATGGCTTGCAGGTAATGGAAGCTGCGTTTCCACAGGGAAATCCCATGCTCGCCAGGTATGGAAATACTATCTTGGATGTTTGAAAAAACACCGATGGGAGCTCTCTGTCCATGACACCACCTGAGAGGTGCAATAGCCTTTTTGCTTCAGTTGTTATTGCAAGTGCACTTGTCACGGTGGATGCAGAGCTGCACTCTGTGTGCTGTGACGATGGCCATGCTACCCTAAAGCTTCAGATGTTGTTCAATCCTCTCAGAGCAATTTTGGAGGCCCATGCGATGGTCTTGAGTTTGGGTTCTGAGAAAATACAGCAAGCAGAGCAAATTCAGTGCTGGCAGCACCTTGCACAAATAATGCCCAAAGTGGTGTGCTTCATTGCGACAGTCCCAGTTCAGATGCAGTTTGCTTGCCATCAGCTGCCACTGTGTCGTGTTGAAGAATCGAGGAGAATCAAGAGAATTAGGCATGTGGGAATGGATTAGCAGATTAGTGGACTGGGCGGATGATGTTGCCTAACAGGCGAATGTGCAACAGTTTGCTGCATGCTTGGCTGATTGTGATCACTGCCTGATTTGCGCATCGATGTAATGTCTGGGAGAGGCTTCCTGGTGTGGCTGTGCGGGATGTGAGGAACAATCCCCGTCTTCCTCACACACACAAACGCGGCTGGGTGGTTGGTCCAAGCATCTTACATCCATGCAATTTGCTGTATGTATCTGTACCATGGTGCTGTAGTTTTCTATTCCAAATATTGCATTGTTTTAAGAGTCCAGGCAGCATGCTGGTTGTGCACTGTAGTAAAACAGTAAGATCATCAAGCATGTTACTGCAACAGTGCTTACATCATTACAGGCAACAGCATGTCTGCCCAACCTTCCATGCTCTGAGTGCCATAAAACCACCCAAAGGATGCAAGGGCATGCTCAAGTGTGCGCATGTTGCTTGATGCGATCAATGTAGGCCTCCATTGGTCTGCTGTTCCTTTTGCTGGCTACCTACACCATGGCAAAGGAGAGACCGGCAGGGGAAAATGTTGACGGTTATATTCTGATTGTGGCACCGCTTGTTTCTCACTTGCCTTGACATGTCCAGCCGGGCAGCGTTTATCCTATACACATTCCAAGGGTATTTGTTTCCTTGTTGGTTGTACACATTGCAATGCACTGCAGACGGGGTGCCCTGTTACCTCTGCAGCATGGATACACTCGGGGAGGAACACACTTGCGCAACTGCTGTCACTGCACTGGTCCAAACTGCAAAAAATCCTGGGAGCCAGCACAGGAGGCCATGCGTTGATGGCAGCGAAGAATTTGTGGGTACCAGAGGTGCCCCCCCCCCCTCCCCCCCCCCAAGCCTGCTGTAGGAAGATTTTGTTTTCTGCAGCGTGGGGATTTTGCCTGAACATCTTGGGTGTATGGTCCGCTGTGGCTCAATGCGAGAGGTGTACGCAGCTGTTCCCCTAGCAACACTGTAAGTCTAGTGGCCCACACTATGCATTATGGGAATGCATGACTGGCTATGAGCCATGGACAACGGGTTGGGTCCGGGATGTGCATGCTGCTGAGGCATGTTGGCATCAGCAGTCGGTCCCCGACTGGGGCATAGCACTGGCCTTGGCAGCAGATGCGCTGGTTGGGGACCCTTGCATCCCAATCTGTCTGCCGCAGGACCACTCAGTAAACAGCCCCAGCAGTGCTCGCTGCCGACCCCATGTATCCAGCGCGGCTACCTTCTCAACGGGTAAACAATCTGCCATACTGCTTCGGGAGGCCACGTTTCGGTGCCCCCAGGATTTCCCCCAATTGGGTTCTTTCGCCAAGGCATTGTCATGTCCTTGGAGAGTGCTCAGCAAACCTAGCAGTGCACATAGCCAGCACCATCCACCCTGCACTGCTACCTCCTCAACAGGTGAACTCTCTCCCACAACGTTTCCATGCCCTAGTCACTCTCTCAAACGGGTTCCTTCGCTTAGGCATTGTGAATCCTTTGGAGACCGCTTGGCAACCTGGCACAAAATCATCTGATTTCGGTAGAAGCTCGTGCCACGACCAGACCAGCAACTCTTTTGTCCCGTCCAGGTTGTGGTTGCATTCACTCGCCTCGACCATCAGCACATTGCCGTTGCGCTTCAGCGCCCCACCGTAACGCCGCATTTCGAAGGCCCGCCAACCGCCGCCACGGCTCCGCCGCGGTTAAGGGGGCCCACATCGCCGCGTGGGGTGGGTAGAAACAGAAAACAGAAAATCGACAACGGAACATGGTCAATTGCTTTCCTGCTCCATGGATTGCTCCGCGGTCGGCGCGACGCCGAGTTTTGCTCGCTTGGCTGCCCGCCTCGTGACTGTCCCGCGGGTGTTGGCGTTGGGAAGGCGCGCCGACGGCGCCCCAGGAACACGGAGGTGGTGATGAAGTTCGCGAACGTGCGCAGATTGGTCAACGCATCCGATGGGAGCTTCCACGCGAGAATGGGGCGCCCTTGCCACGCCGATTGCCCTCCCACGGCCCTGAGCGCCAGCGTGGAGGTGCCAGTATGATATGGGTCGATCCAAGCGGGGAAATCAGAGGGGAAAAGACCAAGTTCTCTGGAATTGACAGGGAGGGAGTGAAATAGACAGTGGAAAGGACAGAGGAAGAGGCCAAAGAGTGTGGCAAGGCACGTTCCTGGGACGAAGAGTGTGCTGGTGAGTGTGGATTTTGCGGCGGTGTGGGCAGGCCGACTTCGAGATGGGGAGTCGCATCAGGTCCGACATGGGAGGGTGGGCGTTGGTTGGGACGGGGCTGCGTGGCGGTGGATCTGGCGCACTCCACATGTTGCACACGTTGCACTTTGAAGACCATTTTTATATGGGAAGCGTGAAAAAAACAACAATGAACACAAAAGCATGGAAAATGAAATTACGAAGTGAAAAGGTCCAACATTTTGAAGTCAGAAATATAATTAAGTGCTTTGGCACGTGCCCACATCCCTGGAAAGGTGAATGATGAGGGGGAGGGCGCACAGTTGGGAATGGTGTGGATATTCTCTTACTTTTGTCAGTTCTAAAACACTGTGTTACATTTGGTCTGGACGGGTTAAATGGGACTTATCCGTCAACAGGGGTAGAATGCGGAGAGAAGAAGGTGAGCCTGCGCAGGTTGGCCAACTACCCCTGGTGACTATGTTTACATGCCACGATAGGTATTATGGCGAAGAACCGCATCTGTCATGGAAGCACACCTGCTGCTCGGAGGCCGGCCAATTTCAATCAAAAGGATGAACAATTTGAAGGAGCAAGGGATAACTATATTATGTCTTTTGAACTGTAATTGGAAAAATAGAGGCAGCAAGGGATGACTATAGTATGTGTTCTGAACTGTCATGGAAAAATTAGAGGCAGCAAGGGATGATCATAGTATGTCTTCTGAACTGTAATGGAAAAAATCGAGGCATTCCAAAAACAGATGCCCGTGGCCTGTTGCTTCGGCCGACGCAGGGGGTGTAGAGACCTTCGATCCGCAAGCAAAACTCCCTTGAAGACAGTTCAAGGTCCTGCCTTGCGCCAGTACAAGCCTACCAGATGCGAGTATTTCAATTTCACATGTTTTGCAGGCAAAGACCAAGGGCGGGTTTCTCCCTCGTCACGCTTAAGGGATCAACAGCTGTTGCTGCAGCAAGCAACAGGAAATAGTCACGCCGCTTTGCTGCGAATCCAACCCATCCCCAAAACCCAATGGTGCGTATTGGATTCATGCAAATTCATTCAAGACTCAATTCCGAGGACTGAAAACCGATGAATTTCGCGGTTAGCTATTTCTGGACGCCTCCGATACGGGCGGTGACCACTTCTGCAGGAACGCCACAGCTAGGTGTGCGCACCGCCGCCTCTGATGCAGTTGGCGCAATCACTTCGCCACTGAAACACCGGCCTTTTGCCCCACCAATGCACCAACACTCATCTCTGTGATCCACATACTGCGCCAAATTAGTTCAATTAGCCAATAGGACAGGGCAGCTTTTAAGAAGCAGCGCAAGCCATCTAAAAGCAATTTATTTGCTTAAATAGCGCAGTCCATCCGTCGTGCCGCACCTCTTAGTAAGAGGAACTAGTTTCAATGTGTGTCACAGTTCTCTTTGTGGCACTCCCTGCCACGCTGCAAACCTGCGTCTCGGCGACAACATGCCGAGCTGGCACGTTGTCCAAGCAGGAGTCGCAGATCTACGGTCATGACATCTAGACGTAATGTCCACGAGTACTTAAAATTATACAGTCAATCTTCCTGATCTGTCGTGCAGAAGTCATTCCAAAGCCACACACAAGGCAATTCAGGGGCGTCAGCGCTGTCGGGCGAGCCGGAAATGGGTGTGCACGCAAATGCCGGTCTTCACTTTGCTTGCACACTCGCTGTGGGGTGCACAGCTGCAGGACCACGCAGAAGAGCCACTTCGGCGGACGTGGCGAATGTTTTCAACGCGGAAACTGAAGTTTGGGAGGAAAAAGCCAGGAAGGACCCGAAGCCTCTTGCTTCCTCGTGGACGCATCCCCCCCGTGTCAGCGCCTGCCCAACTTCACCCACAAGTCCGCTTTGTGCCCGCCCAGCGCCCCTTCCAGCCCTCGGCTGAAACCGAAGCTGGGGACACCTGTACAAGTCGCGCAGCCTCGTTGCGGTGAAGCGTACTTGAAGAGGGCGCACATGCCCGCAGAGGCACATTCGTTCTCAGGATTCTCAACACGGTGCCCCGTCCGGCGAAGCATCCAGAAGCCACGCACCCGCCCGGGCAGCCACAAGGCTCCGAATCGTCCTGCTCCCACGTCCAGCGTGGGACGGCCATTGGACCGGCCTCAGCAAGGCCCAAGGCGCCGGTCTGACGACCCGCGCCAATTTCCGTGCCGGTTTGCAACTGTCACATGATGGGCGCGACCCCACGCGCCCCATCCCTACAATATGCCCAAGAATTCGTCCCGCATCGACCTCTTGAGAATCGGGATCCCTGACCCACGCCCCTTCTCCATCCTTGGTGACTGACCCACGACCTCCCCGCGCCCGCGCTTCTGGCTGCAGCTGGCCCGCCTTTCCACGTGCGACAAATCGTCTCATAATTTCACGTTGAAATGCCTCCCCGGGGGAGCCGCCGAGTCGCCCACTAAGGCCAGGTCAGGACGCTCAGGGGGTGGAGGGCTGGCGAAAGGCGTCCGCACCGGCGCTCCAGTCACCTTCTCTGGGCCCACAGGGCCCGCTGCGTCAGCCGCGATGACCGACCGGTGGCGCTGCCGCGGACGTCACTCGCCGACTTCACGCTGAATTCGCGCACGGAAGGTGGGCTGCCTGGCGGGGCCGGCTACTTATTCCAGAGCAAACGGCAGGCCGCCAGCGGTTTGAGCCGACTGCCGACCACTCCCCCGGTCGAGCCGCCCGAGCCGCCGGACGCTCTACGCTGGCGAGGCGCCGAGACGCAGGGTGGGTGTGTCCCCCACTCCCCCTGGCCGCCACCGTGACGGGATGATTCGAATTTCCAGCTGACAGGCGTTGACAGCCGCGGGGCGGCGGGCTGTCTGGACGCAGTTCGTGCACCGCTCGCAGGGCGCATGGCGGGATGTCTGTGGCATCGGCGCCGCTGTGGCCTTCCCCCCCACCCCCCGTTGGTGCCCAATCGAGTGGCCACGGGCGCAATTTTGTGATCAGCGCCGCGTTCGGGGATCCGAGCGCTGCTTCCTGGGACGGTTGACGTGGCTCCGGCGCTGAAACCGTGCGCCACCGCGCGGGGGCGCCGCCAACCATTCTCCACAGCTCCTTTTGGTCAAGGCGGCGTGATCTCGCTGCCAAAACGCCTGATTGAGTTGGAGAATCCCCGCCTGGCGCCTTGATTGAATTGTCACCCCCCCGACCCGCTTCCATTTGTCGTACCACTTGACGATCGTCCCAGTCCGTCCATCCACCGCCTCTCGCCCCGGGTGCCGCCCGCATCGATGTCCAACTGACGCCCCGCTTGCTGCCCGCCAGGTTGAACAACATGAAGCCCACGGCCTTGCTGCTGCTCGCCCTGCTGGCATTCGTGGTGCGCCCCCGGCCCCGTTTACCCCTTTCACGAATCGAGTGCATCGCTTTTTTGAGAGGACCGCCTCGCCGGCTAGGCCTGAGGTTTTCGCTCTCCTGCGGTTCGCTGAGGCTGCCAGGGTCCCTGGAATCGATGGCGGCTGCAACCATGAACTGGCGGTGTATCGCCCATAATACGACCAAGCAGCGTGCCAAGCACGGGGCGATGCGTCCAGACCGCACTAGGTGCCTCCCGTTGCCCATACCCATGCACGAGTTTGGCGGTCGCGTAGTCCCCCCTTAACCCCCCGCCCCCCCTCCCAAAAAGAAAAGCTCCTCGAGCCCACTCTCCGAGCGGGCGCCGTTCCTTCTCCTCCTTCGCGAAGGTCGCTCCCTCGTGTGCTTCGGCTCCCGCTTGCCATCCGTCCCCGTCACGAGTCCCAAACATTCACTGCGAAGTACATTAGCCTCACCCGGGATACCAGTACGTGACCTTATGCAGCGAGATCTCCCATTCTTACGTGAGGGTGGGCTGGTCCTGACATGCGGCGAGCCAAATTTGGATCGCAGGCGGGACCGCACCGTACATTAGAGAGTTGTGTCGGAACGCGCTCTGACCCGTCAAGTGCTAGCCACGCTGAAAGTACCTCCGAAAAGGTGTTCGCAGCGCGGTGTTGATCAGCCCTCGCATCGGGTCGCGCCGACCCCACAGCCGCTGGCATGGGCATCTCGCCCTCCCCCCCGACCCGGCGGCTTCCCCGATTCAGCTAGTTACCCGCCCCGGCCTCCCGGCCCTCCTGACACCGAGCTCGTTTCCGCGCAGGCCGTCTCGGATGCCAGCCGTGCAGCGTCGTCCCTCCGGGCCCTCCTGCAAGACCATGGTGAGGATCCCAGCGACCATCCGCGTCAGCCTCGATTATCCATGCCTGCCCCCCCCCCCCCCCCCCCCCCCCCCCCCCCCCCCCCCCCCCCCCCCCCCCCGTCTTGTGCACCCTTCTCTGGATGCCGCGCATTCGTGCGTTTTGGTCCCGGGCACGCCCGCTGCCGATGATTCGCTTTCCATTTTTGCGGCTCGTGGCCTCCGGAGGCCACGTGCTAGGAACCTAGCTAGGATCCAAATGCGGGATGCCACGTGGCCGGTAGCTTTTGCTCGGGCTTGCGCGCCGGCGACAATTCTGGGAGCCGTTGCCGGCTTCGCTGCTGCGCTGGAGTGCGCAGTGCGCGGAGAATTGACCGCCTGCGCCCGCTGAGTGCCGACGCGCCTGGTGGGTTTTCCGCAGAAGAGATGGAGGAGGAGCCGATCTACTGCAAGGGGGAACACGAGGACGAGTGCCCCGAGCACTACGAGTGCAAGCCCCTCGACGAGTCTGTGTGCAAGGAAGAGAAAGGTGAGAGCACGAAGGGAGAGGCTCATACGGATGGATGACGGGATACATGGTCATGCATGGATATGTGGGAATACATGGATATCTGTCGGATTTTTGCATGGATTTGTGCGCGGCTGTGGTGGATGGATGACAGATGCATGATCATGCATGGGTATGTGGGGATGCAAGGATATATATATCGGGTATTGCATGGCTTTGTTCGCGGCTGTGGTAGTGCCTGTTTTGCTGGTCGTCCTGGGCGATGCATGGCTGACTTATTGGAGCAAGGAGGTGGGGCATGTTTCCTTCCAGCACTGGTCATGATGGGGCCTGCCGATTGATCAAAGTTGCCCAACCAAAATTGTGTCTCTCTGGCATCTTCGACTTTCTGGGAATGCACTAGCCGTGGACCTTTGGGCTGGCCATTCAGCATGGTGTACCACAAAGTGTGTGGGGGGGACGCAAGTTTGCCCCTTGGCACCTGTGTGCTCTTCACACTTTGGACTCCTGTGCAGTGTGGACGATGCCAGGGCGGGGGTGGTGGTGGGCAATGATGGTGTCGTGGTGTATCTGCCACTAACACCATGTTTGTTTTGTGTGAAGACTGCAGCAAGGATGCATACGGGAAGGAGCATTGCACGATGAGATCGAGTAAGTGCCTGCCAACGACTTGCACCTCGATGTACTGCATCAGTGCCCAGTTGCGAGGAAACTTTTCAGAAAGCAGGGCGCTGCTCAGCACTGTGTGTCGCATCTTGTCCCATGCAGTACTCCCCAACTGCAAGTAGTAAACTACGGAACTGTTGTGATTCCAGCATATGCCTTGTTCTGAAGCTGCTTGTCTGTTCCAGTGTGCTATGCTTATCAGTGCATGATGAAGAAGCCCGTGTACTGCGACCCCCATGCCGAGTACGACACCTGCGAAAAGGACCATGGGTATGACCTGATGTGCATGGAGCTCGAAAAGGAGGAGTGCAAGTACAAGGAAGGTGAGGAACTGCAGAGCCACATGCATGGACACATCAGTGCAGTCCTGGGAATGTTGTACGAACTCTTGAACATCTGGTGGTGCAACTGTTGCAGAGCTTCTGAATGCCATTACGGTCTGCATCATGGCCATCGACGAATCGCTGTTGGCAGAAAAGTGCATTTGCATTTTCCTGAAATTCTGGCCTGCCAGTGACGTGCAAGCCTTTCAAGCAACTGGGGCGCCTTGCTACATTACTTTCTTTGGCAGTAAACAAAGAAGCCCGCTTTTTGCACTAGATTTGAGGGCTGAATCTGTGTGTCCGTCACAGAGTGCAAATACGTCAACACTGACTGCAAGGAGTACGACGTGGTGGAGAAGTGCACCTACCACCCTGGGCCGAAGTGCAAGGTCTACAAGCAGGAGAAGAAGTGCGATAAGGAAAACTTCTGCAAGAAGTACGACCACAAGAAGGAATGCAAGACGGAGATGCACTGCAAGAAGTACAACCAGGAGAAGGAGTGCAAGCACGAGAACTTCTGCAAGAAGTACGAGCAGAAGAAGGAATGCAAGAAGGAGAAATTCTGCAAGGAGTACAACAAGAAGAAGGAGTGCAAGAAGATGCAGGTGGGTGCCGTTCAACGCAATATGTCAAGTGCTGACAAGTTTGCCTGGGCAGTAGTTCTCCAGCTCAACTACTCTTGCTTAGGTTATTAACAGACATTCTTGTTGGTGGCACGTTCTTGCAGATGTTGATATCCGCGGGTTATATCTGGAGATACTGTGGCCCATTTCTTGGGAGAGACTTTCCAAGTGATCTGTTTAAGAGAATACCTGTGGTCTGGTAATTTCCGAGTGACCTGCGCATACCATGCCTCTCTACAAGTGCTCCACCAGCACAGTTCTGTGAACGCAAGCTGCATAAAACATCCAGTGATTGGAGTGCTGCGGTCCGCTTCCTCGTCGATTTGCGCAACGGGATGCCCTGTCCACTACCGCTCCAACGGGCTGAGCCACACATTTTCAACCATCGCAGGTCTGCAAGGAGTACGAGCAGATCAAGGAGTGCCGCGACGAGTCGTTCTGCAAGAAGTATGAGAACGAGTGCAAGAACGTCCACGTCGACAGCTGCCAGAAGTACGACGCGTACGGTAACTGCGAGAGCTACTACAGGGAGGAGTGCACGAACAAGTGCGTGGAATACGGCACCCGCCAGGTGGACTGTAAGTACAAGGACGGCCCCTGCAAGAAGTACGAGACCAAGTACCACGACTGCGTGTACAAGAAGACGACCTGCAAGACCTACGGCTACAAGGAGGTGGACTGCAAGTACGTCGACACCGACAAGTGCAAGGAGTACGGCGTCAAGGAGTACGACTGCAAGTACAAGGACACTTCCTGCAAGGAGTACGAGACGAAGGAAGTGGACTGCAAGTACGTAAAGGCCGGTTGCAAGGAGTATGGCTACAAGGAGGTGAACTGCAAGTACGTGAACACGGATTGCAAGGAGTACGAGCAGGTGAAGAAGTGCACTCAGGAGCACAAGGGCTGCAAGGAATACAACCAGAAGAAGGAGTGCGAGAAGATCAAAGGTGAGGACAGTACAACATATGAGATATCAGTGTCAATAGAGAGAATAATATTCGAGCAGGCAGATGGAAAATAGAGGAGCAATTGCAGCTGTTGCGCAGCTCTTGGTGCTCGCCCCGTCCACACGTAGCCTTGTCTGAGCTGCACGTTTGTATGGATGAGTTGCACGGTCGCTATTAAGGAGACACACAATCATTATTGATATTACGATTACTGGCTGTCGACTTCGGACCAAGAATCAGTGTCACGTGGTGGGCCCTTGTTTACCATTCTGTCTTGGCACCACACAGCCAGGGCATCAGTCCTTGTTAAGGGTTGCCTCCAAAGAGCTTGGTGCAATGCGAAACGCGCTGCTCGAATGGCGCAGTCGCCAGCGCCATAACCGGCAAGTCGAAGATCGATTCGCTATTCATATGATACCCCAAACCGTACAAGAACAGGAACAAGTCTTAACGAGCGGAAGCTTCTAGCATCAAATTGCTAATGCTGTGGGTAACTTTTCATCTGCAATGCGGGACCCATTGTTCACTGCTGTTGTGTAAACTTGTCGAACAGACGTCTGCTGGAAGGGCATCTGCGAGAAGAAGCCGCCTCCCGAGCCGTATTCCCCCGAACCCTACTCTCCTGAGCCGCCCACATACGAGCCGCCTCACTCCGGCTGAGCTAGGAAGGCTACTAGCGCCATCCGCTGTTTGCATAGCACGGTGAGCTGTCGACGACTCGTCGGAAAACTGAATAGCAGCCATGGGTATGCGTGTGTGCGCGACGCCCGTGCTGTGCACAAGCCCACGCGCAATGTGGAGGGAGCCTGCAATAGTTGTGTCACGTCGGTTGCTTGACAAGGGAAGCTCGGGATGGGGATTTGCTTGAGATCAGTGTGAGGACGGAACGCGTGCAGGGAGTGCGCGTGAAGGTACTGCTACCTGTCGGCGAAGTTGCTGCCCACATGAAAATATTGAACGGGGGCAACTGGGTCGGCTCCTGCACTTGCCGCGCTGCCTCGTCGGGCCGTTCAGTTCGACTGTTGACGTGTCAATGTGCCCAGGTTCATTCCCGGCGCAGTTGAATTGCTCTCTGACGCTTCGCCTTGTGTGGCTCCTGGGGCAGAGGATGGAAGCGAAGAGCAATTTTGAAGGACGTGTGTCCGAGCTACCGTCATTTTTCCACACCTGCCAACGGTTCGAGCTTGTAACTCCCGTTTCGGCAAAACGAATAGGTAATAGCGAGTATTTCCAAGGGGTCACATCAGTTGTGGTGAATGATATTTAGGCACCAGCGGGACACGGCCAGTGGTCGCGTCTGTGCAGGACGGATTCATTAAACGATCTAATCAATTTTTGTTCCCCATCCGTGGCCACTGAAGGGTGGCATGGGATAGGCTTCACAAGAGCCGAGACTGGGACGTGGCTTTACAGCCAGGTGTTGTGCATGTTGTGTGTGTGCATGTGTGTACATTTGTAATTATGGCTCTTGTAATTCAGCACATTCCTTTCCCAAGGTCGGGATCCCTGCCCCCGTTTCTGGTCGTGCTGACGTCCACGGCGTCTACCGCAAAAGGCAGTAGTGGCGACAGCAGTTGCTGTAAACCCCCAAACACAAAGCTGCCGGAACGTATACAGAGCAGAAGTCTTGATGTGCGCGTACGGGCACCATTTCACCTACCCCAGGGGCAAGTTCCCGGGTTAAGCCGTTTTGAATTTGCTTTCAAGAGACAAAGCGCGGCCTTTGCACTTCCCTAGGGGATGGCGGGCGCGCCCATCCAAGGCGCTTCTCCGACCTTCATCCATTCCTCTATTCTCCTCGCCACTCCACACCGCATACATACTGTTGTGCAAGAGAACAGTTAGGCAACCCAATATACCGGCCGTCTCAACACAACATTTCGTTCCATCCATCGAAAAGTTGAAGCCTATCTCGGGTATTCACACTGTGCGACACACAGCCGTTGATTTCGCTGCCTCCAAGGGCTTTCCCCCTGCTTCCGTCCGGCACCCGTTTTGACTCGGGAGTAGAAGTGCCCCCAATCCCTTAGTCCCTCGGGGAACAGGGTGGCGATCGACCATAGTACGCTAGTACTGATTTCTTGTTGTGTTGCAGGCCGCAGCAATGACCAGCAGTAAAGAAAAGAGTCCTTGGCAATCGAAGCATTGAGTTCTTGAGCGCCCAACATTTTGCTGCGACTTTGGTACGGTGCTCCCATTCAACTCGCGGCACGTTGGTAGGCTGTGAAGGACGGCGGTCCATTCTGGCCGTCATACCCGGAGATAGCGCAGTCTAACCACCCTTGAACGAGCAGCTGAACCACGTCGACAGCCTCAGGGCCGCGTCAGTTGAGGGTGCACTCAACGAGCAAACTTTGCCCCTCGCGCGAACTGGCTCTTCACGAAGAACTGCTTGTCGCGACGATGTCAACCATCCAAAACAGCAGCGACGGCATGGGAAGCTTCAGACGAGCGGCAAACATCCAATGCAGAACCTCTCACAGCTGCCCCCCAGAGCGCCACAACCAGACGGAGCCACTCTCCAAAGATCGGCGAGGTCAGGGCACAGGTCAGCCCCACGGGTCAGGGCAGCCTTGGCCACAGCGTATTGATGCAATGCACGAAAGATTTTTCTTTCCGCCTTGACGAGGCTGCGCAGGGATGAAGGCTGGTCATTTTTGGCCGGACTGGTAGTGCTGGTCTTGAACGGCAAGGAAAGCATCTCAGAAAAGGTACAGACTGGTCGCGACCTTCGAAAGGGCCGAGCGCTATTGTGCTCAGGCCGTGGCGAACGTTGCGCACGCGGCCAGGGAAGGCTGGCAGCCAGGCTGAGCGCCCAGACCACCGCGAGAGGCACACGCAAACGCCGCCCAACAGTTCTTAAAGCTGCCGTGACGAGAGCAGCAAATCAGAGTTCCCTTCAGCTTTCGCCACGTCCCCAGTACTAGTAACCCCCAAGCTCTGGCAAATGCCCCCCATTCCTAAGAGGTGCTCTTTTGGTACCCGGAATCTTTCTGCCGCACACATCATTTCACCGCAACTCAACCCGGTAAGCCCCACTGCCTGCAATCAGCCACCACGTAATGCTCCAAGGCCGCAGTCCCATCAAACAGCCACACATCCGGCTGTCAGCAACCGCGTAATGCCCCCACGAGGCATATTCCCAGCAAACAACCACGTGGCGCCTCCACATGCCCCTCCTGGCTCGGCCTCGCTGAGGTCCATGGCAGACCGCCAGGCGGGCATCCCTTAAGCAAACGCATGCATCCAATGGCAACCTGGGTGCTCCTCAACACTCCAAGGCCGTTTCCTGGGCGTTTTAGACTCACGTCTCGGTGTGATGCGTTGCCACGTATTGGAGTTCTGCTCAGCATCTTTACAGTATCCTAGTGGACTCTTTGGGCGTATGATGAAGCTGCCAAAGTCTATCTTTGTCATCGAAGTCATCTCCCTGCGCTCCGAGTGCCTTGAGCTTGCAATACTAGAAAATTATGTAGCACGCCTGGCTGATGACTTGGGGATTTCCCACCTCACTGAGTGCCAACCTGCTTGATAATGATCAGTGTGGCGAGGGTGCTGAGGCTGTCGACATCCCCTCTGCACCACATCTAGACCTCACGGGTCGCCAGCTGAGTGATATCATTAATGTACTAACTTTTTTATGAGCCCCATTAATTGGCGACCCGATCAAGGCACAATGTGAGATCACGCAAACCTCCCCTGCACGGATACCAGTTGGGATCCACTGACAGTCTCGTGTCTAGGAACGTCACCCGATGCTGTGACGACCGCCAGAGTGCCCTCCTCTCTACGTGTTCTGGCCCAAGGAGCCGCGTGTTGACCCCATCTCCATCAGGCTGAATCAGCGCACCAAGCGCGGTGGGAGCGAGCTTGCAATTGTGTTAAATGCTAGAAATACTGCAATTTGCATAAAATGCATGAAATGCACAATAAGATGCTGTAAGTTTGCATATTAGAATGAATGTGCCATCCGAGTGTTCCTGGGGAGAATGTATGTTTCGGCCGTCCCGGTTTCCTTTGATGCACCCCATGCCCCGCCCCGCCCTTGAACGAAAGATGGCGAGGCTGTTCCACACTGTGACAGATGCCGCAGAAGTCTTTGAAGGGGCAGGCTAGGAACAGAGGCGCCGTGCGGCATGCATGGACACGACATCAATGCGCGCATTTTGGTCCTCCTTGGCGTCCGGCCAGCCCCTCAACGTAATTTCGGACAAGTGCGTGCCTCGGTGCTGATTTTAGCACTTTAACTGCCCAGTCAGAGGTGCGCTGATCCGAACTTCGCTCAGGTGGGGGCTGCATTGGCCGCCGAACGGCCACGATTGCCGCCCTCCTGGAGGGCGCATGGAGCAAGGACGCCGCGGATCCTGTGCGACCACTGGGCCAGCTGGATGTGGCGGCTGGTAAATTCGCCAAGCTGCTTTCTTTGCTGCTCAACTGTTTTCTTTTCCACGCCTGCCGAAGCGAAGCGGGTTAAGCTGGGAGACGGTGGCCTTGCAGGGGCCATCCGGCGCTTGACAGCGCGATGGTTTTGCTGTTAAGCGATGGATGGTTGACCTGTCACCCAGGATTGGCTCCTTTCGAGATCTTGGGGCTTGTGTGGTCCATGGGGAGGGGGTTCTGTTGTCTTTTCTCGCCTTCATACTGCATCTAGGAAGGCAACGAAGGGATGGTTGCACGTTTGCATGTTTCGGCATGAGGACTGCGGGGAGGCCGTCTGGCTTCAATGCAGTAAGGGCCACTGCTCTTCGTTTTATGCAACATGTTCCATTGTAGGGACAAGAGAATGGCAGGGGCTCTTGCTGAAGGAATGCCCTTTGGTGTGTCTTCCAGCGCTCAAGCGACAAAGCACACACATCCATGCACACTGTTAGCCAGAAAACGACAAGCCTTGTGAGCAGCCCTGCAGTCTCTTATCTCAGTCAGTTCTCAATTCAGGCAGGGTGCATCACTGTAAGCATTAACAAGAGGTGCTGGCATGGCCTTCAGCCCGTCTGCAGATGGAAACACTGCTTCACCCACCAACGCTGTTACATCGACACTTGTTCAGAACATAGTTTGCGGCCTGGCTGCCTTG